CAGCGTCCCCCGGTAGTCACACCGTGGGCACCCCAACTGTGGAAACTTGCATCTGAATCCACCGTGAACTCTGGTTGGGAACCGAAGATGGCCTTGCCATTCCAAGCCGAGAAGTTGTGGATCCACCAGGTCAATTTGTCCCGAGTTTCCGAGTCCAGAGAGACCATGTCCGCATAGGACACCCCACTGCGAAGGTGTGCAATCTTCAGACTGAGGGGCTGGGAACACCCCTTGGATTGATGAAGCCAGTAGGCCAATTATCCATGCCAGATGACGCAGCAATAGCTGGTGGCGTGCTAGAGCGCGGCATAATTCCTTGTGGATGGTCCTTATCTTGGACAGAGGGAAGCTGAACTCGAGGAGTCTACGGTGAACCCGAGGAACTCCATGCATTGCGAAGGGGACGGGCAGAATTTTTCCCAGTTAGGAGGAAACCCAGGTGAGAGAGAAGATCCATCATCCATTGCAGGTGCTTCAGGAGGACCGAACGATCCTGTGCCATGATGAGGATGTTGTCCAAGTAGACGATCAGCCAAACTCCTCAACTGCGCAACCAAGCCATGGCAGGGTGCATCAATTTTGTGAAGCACCAAGGTGCTGACGAGAATCCAAAAGGGAGGCAAGTGAAGCGCCAGGTGTCGCCTTTCCAGAGGAAGCGTAATAAGTCCCTGGATGCTTCGGTCACTGGGACCATCAAGTATGCGTCCTTGAGGTCTAACTTCGCCATCCAGTCTCCCCGAAGGAGCATATGGGGGCCAGCACTATCGCCCCTTTCGCGTGGAGGGCCGATAGTTCCACGTCTATCAAGGCGCGGTCGGTCACTGAGAGCAAAATAGGGCGAGGAGGAGGAATGTGACACAATGAGTGTCGACTAACTTAATGTGAAACCCCTGAACGGTGGTCAGGACCCAGACATCGGAGGTGATGGTTGACCAGGCTTGGAAAGAATGACGGAGTCTGCCCCCTACACAAATATTGGAAAAAAACATGAGGTAGATGTTAGCTTACCGTAAGGGTGTCTGGAACCGAAGTTCCCATTGAAGCCTCTGGAGCGCCATGGTCTTCTATGAGAGGGGAAGAAAGGGGACTGGTGTCTCGTCTCCTGGTAGGGTGGTCTCTAGGTATAGGAGCCTCGTCCCGATCCACGTGGTAGTTGGAACGGCCGGACAGACGACCCCTGAATCTGCCGGCCCTGGTAGAGACCTGCCCCTGAAATACCCTCTTCGTAGAGGATTGGGCGTGATCCAGGACTGTAAAAGCACCCACAAAGCTCCCAAGGATCCTTTATAAAGGAGTCCCCAAATAACAGGCCCTGGGCATCCTTGTCCGCCTCTGTGAAGGCGAGGTTGGCGAGTTTTGGCTCGATTTTAAAAAGAATGGCTTTACGCCGTTCTATGGACAGGGAGGTGTTAACACTGCCCGCTATGCAGATTGCCCTCTGCACCCAGCCACGGAGTTTCTCCTGGTCAACCTGCCTGTTTTTGGCTCTGGCGATTTCAGCCAGGTCAAATAGTTTGGCCAAAGGACCAAATATGTCCAGGTGTTTATCCTGGCATGATTTTAGTGCCGAATCAAAGCCCTTGCGGGGATTCCAACCCAACTTGGAGAGGAATTGGGTCATCTTAGGATCGACTATAGGGGTCTAACAGACTTTGCTGGGCACCAGAGGTCTAGGACATTCTGTCCTGAGTTTGTTATGCGCCGCCTTACTAAGGGGGTGCCGTACCCAATCCAGGTATCGTACCACATGGTACGCTGGGAGCCATTCCGCCGACCTCGGATGATGGACAGCATCCGGGTCAAACATGGGTTCCCCAGATGGATCCATGAGGGTGGAGCCCGCAGTAGCGGGGGAGTCGCTCCGAGAGCCATTCACTACCATCCTCGATTGAGCAGGGACATCGTGAGAGTCATCGTGAGAGTCACACACGGACTCAGCATCAGCCTCCTCGCTAGACCCGATTTCTGAGTCGGAGTGACTCTCTTTTTGTGCTCTAGCACATTTCCACTGCCGCGCCCATTCTGCCTGGCGCGGAAAGGCTCTTTTGCGTGACATGGGCATGCTATCATGGGTGGTCACGGGTGCACTAATCATATTGGTTCTGGAGGCAGGGGGACTTAAGTGCCTGGATTTGGCAGTAGCCTTTTTAGGTGCGTCCCCTGTAAGGCCTGGAGCGGGATGCGCTATTCGCGTCGGTGTGGCCGAACCTTCTGTGGCCAAAGGGCGAGTCAGTAAGGCCTGTGATACGGTCTGGGAGAGAGCAGAGGACATGGAGCCCAAAACTAAAATGACGGAACAGACTAGCAGGAGTAAATCACCCCAAACTAGCTATACCTTTAAGAGGTTAGAGATAGGGAGCTCACCAGGGTCCAGACCGGCAGACAGGAAGAGAATACGAGGCAGAGCACAGAGCCAGAAGGACAGGTTGTCAGAAAATGGCCACCAGTAATCTCGCGAATCCTGTGAATTTGTCAAATTAAAGAGCCGAACGTTTGGCAAAAAAGAGACAAATTTGTATGAACAAATAGACGAATGGAATGAATAGGAAAACAGGGCTTGATTCATTCACAAAAAACAGCCGAACGAAATGAAGAAACAGGCGCAAAAGGGCGCCAAATAGACAGGGAGCAATGGAGCCACAGACAGCAAGAAGGAGATAAGGCAAATGGAGAAAAGAGAAGAGCAACAAAAGGAAGCTCAAGGGAGAGCGATACAAATAATACCTATAAAAAAAACAAGCAAAAAAAGAGGCGCTAGTGATACAGTGATAAAATCCTTATATATGCGTATATAAACCTTCTCAGTGAAACAGCTCTAAAAACACCCAATAACATCAAAAGATAAAAATGTGCGCTATACCTTTTAAATATTGAAGTGCTACAAAGTGAAAAAGTGTCAGTGCACTGTGCATTCAGGAATTACCTTTATATTATTAGAATAATGTGCAAAATTGCAATTTGTGTTATGTGCTAAATATACTAAAAACTACTTACTAAAGAAATAGGGATTTCACACTATTTCTTCCAGGGATGCATAAGGACATAAAAAGACAGAAATATAAACAGAGCATAATACTGTATAACAAGAAATTCTAAGAATGACCATAAAAATTGAATCAAACTCACAAGAGGAGAGCAGTAAGCAGTAAGGCTTGTGGCCACACATGGGACTACATGCAAATAGGGATCAGTGTATGGCAGCTTGAATGTAGAAAACACTTTATTTCCAACAAAGTTAAAAAGTTCACAGTACACGTGAGCATGTGCTCCCTTATCCACAGGAATTCATACCCCTATGCTGCAGTGGAGCTTCAAAACCGCGGCTAGCACTGGCGGTCTCCTCGAAAATCGACACCTGCAGGGGGTTCTTCCGGGAGGCGGGGCTACGTTCCATCACATGTTGGAGTGATGACGTCAATGCGTATGCGGACGTGATGACGCGTTTCGCCTAGTTCGGCTTCTTAAGATCACGTCATCATTCAGCTGCCATTTCCTTTTGTAGTTTTCATTGTGGGCGTTACGTTACAGCCCCACTTCGCTATTGGCCATAATTTAAGTCTCTCATTAGAATGATTGCATACATTAATTTAAAAGTCCACATGTCCTTTTGCTGTATCGCCTAAACGTTATCATTGGCCAAAACCACGGCACAAACCCAACTTGCAAAATTAACATCAAAACAAAATCAAAACATATGTACATAAATATAATTATTACAAAGACCTAATTATACATAAAAATAAAATGAAAAGTATTAAAACAGATTTTGCATGAGTAATAAATGTAACCTTGTGTATTTTATTGTATTTTACTGTCTTTTTACTGCCATGTGCTTAATGGAGTTTTGCCTCTGTCCTTGGAGATAATGGGATTACTTCCCAATTATCTCCAGGATGGAAGACTCTGTGGAACTGGTTTTGGGCAGAAAAGCCATGCTTCCTTTGGTCACAAAGGACTTCGATCTATCTTTTGAACCAATGGACCAATTTGGATGATTTTTACATATGTTTGTATTTGGAGTATGCTGATTCTGAAAATGTAAGTGAATTTATGTGAATGTGATGCATACTTTTAAAGTTATGAATAATGTGGAAAAACTGTATTTATCTGCCTGTGATAATTACATTAACCCATTGTGTAAGGTAATTGTATCACAGGCAGAGGGGAGGATTTTGTGTGGGAGTGTCTGAGTG